GTGGCGGGGGGGGGGGGCGGTCAACCCTTGCAAGGACAGAGCCGAGTGCGGCGGTTGGGCCGTTCTTGCTTGGAGAGGGCGTGCCCCTGAATCAGACCCGTGGTGGGCAGCGGGCCAACGGCAGGGCAGAGTCCTCCTCGGCCTTCGCGAGGACAGCGGGTGGCTGGACTGGCACAGTCCGTCCTTCGCCAGAGGGCCAGGAGGGTTGCTTGCATCCTGGAGCCCCCACACACACCGGCCAGGAGCTCCTGTCGCCCAGCCCCCAAACAGCTCCCCCGGGGCTTTTCTGCCCTCCCTCTCCCTTGGGGCAGGGGGTGGTGGGGGTGGGAGGCAAGTGCCCCTCTCGCCCCCGTGACGTCTCCCTCCCTCCCTCCTGGTCCCCGCAGACACCCTCCTGGGCACGGAGATCACCATGGTGACGGGCAACGACGTGGACTCTGGCCCGCCGCTCTCCTACCTGCTGGTGCTGGACAGCAGCGCAAGGGGCACCTTTGGCATCCTGCGCTACGGGGGCCGCATCACGCTGATGGGGCCGCTGGACTACGAGCAGCGTCGCCACTACGTCCTGACCGTGCGCGCCTCCGACTGCCAGCACGAGACAGAGGCCAACCTCACCGTGCTGGTGGAGGACATCAACGACAACGCGCCCCACTTTGCCCAGGCCCTGTACCAGGTAGGGGGCTGCGGGGAGGGGAGGGGAGGTAGCTGCACACCTCGTCCCCCCCCGAGGCAGGGCGGCAGGAGCGCCTGCCCTCACCCGGGGCAGCCTCTTGGGCCGGTCTGCTTCTGTGCCGGTCTGCAGGAGCCAAAGGCAGAAACACGCCCCCCTGTCCTGCGGAAAGGCTGCCACTGCCGCTGCTGCCGCCATCCTCTCCGCGGGCCTGGCAGGCTCCGCCTCCCATGGCGACTGAGGGCACATGCCGAAGGATCCCGCTGCCGGGGCGTGCCAGGTGGACCGCGGCTGGTGCCCGGAGTGGCCCTGGAAGCCAGCGCTTGCTGCAGGAGAGCCCCAGGATCAGATGGGGGGAGGGAGGGAGAGAGGGACGTGGGGGGAGGGGGTAAGAGAGCTGGGCCCAGAGTCCGTCAGTGCGCACAGGCCACAGGGCTGGGCTTTGCGGAGCGCGTCGATCGGCTCCGGGCCCCTTCAGCTCCCCTCGGCTTGCCTTTTTCCACGGCCACCTCGAAAGGCTTGGACTCCGGGCGGCCCCAGGGGACAGGAGCGGCCCCAGACGCTTCCCCCCGGGGGTCATGACGGCCCTGCCTCCTCTCGCCTTTCCAGGTGCTGCTGCCAGAGCACACCCCGGCCGGAAGCCCCATCCTGACCCTGAGTGCTGCAGATCTGGACTCCGGCACCAACGGGGAGGTCGCCTACCGGCTGGCCACGCCAAGCCAGGCCATCGCCATTGATCCACACAACGGTATGAGAGCGGGGCCGGTGGAGGAAGCGGCCCAGCAAGACCCGGGGGGGGGGGTCCCTTCCGAGTCCAGGTCCCGTCTCCCCCGGGTTCCCTCTGGCCGTTGCTCTCCCGTGGGGTGATTGTTTGCCGAGAGGCAAGTTGTCGGTCTTCGGGGCTGGTTGTTAGACCCCGTGGGGTGGCTGGGACAGAGAGCGCCTTCCTCCCCTCTCCTCCCGGGTGCGACTGCTGGCTGCCCCCTCCTCCCCAAGGGCGGGGGGCTCGGGGCTTAGGGCTTCCCTCCCCCCCCCGTTCCCACAGCCCTTTCCCCTCTCCGGATTCTCACAGCGCCTTCTCCTGCCACACAGGGACCCTCTTCACCACGCAGCCCCTTGTTCTGGAGCCGGGACACTCCACGCTGGACGTCCGGGTGGAGGCCCACGACAGGGGCTCTCCCCGGCTCTCGGCCTGGACCACGGTGCAAGTCCAGGTGCTGGACGTGAATGACCACGGGCCTCAGTTTGCGAAGCCATGCTACAACGCCAGCGTGGCTGAAGACCAGCGGCCGGGTACCACGGTGCTCACCCTGCACGCCACAGATGGCGACGTGACCCGGGACAACGCAGCCTTGGACTACACCATCGTCAGCGGCAACAGCGGGCACGCCTTCCAGTTGGAGGGCCAGGCGGGCAGGGCCAGCGCTCTGGTCCTGGTCGAGCCCCTGGACTTTGAGGCGGTGGCCATCTACAACCTGACTGTGGCCGTGGCCGACCGAGGCGTGCCCCAGCGCAGTGCCATCGTGCCAGTCGTTCTCACCGTGCTGGATGCCAACGACAACCCACCCGTGTTTGGCCGTCCGACCTACCACATGGCTGTGAGCGAGAGTGCCGTCCCCGGGACAGAGCTGCTCCGTGTGGCCGCCCAGGACCCCGACTCGGGGCCCCACGGCCAAGTCCACTACCGCATCAGCTCCGGCGACCCCGGGGGGCTCTTCCACTTGCACCCCTCCACGGGAGCCCTCCGCCTCTCCCGGGCTCTGGACTGCGAAGAGCAGGCCCAGCACAGCCTGGTGGTGCAGGCCTCGGACGGGGCAGGCGGCGGACACTTTGCCCTGGCCTCGGTCACCATCGAGGTGAAGGACGTCAACGACAACGCCCCTTACTTCCCGGTGGAGGTGCTGAGTGCCAGCCTCAGGGAGAACCTGCCCCCTGGCAGCGTGGCCACCACCGTGCGTGCCGTCGACACGGACGCGGGTGTCTTTGGGGAGCTGCACTACGTCCTGCTGCAGACAGAGGGGCGGGACGCCTTCAGCATCAACAGCACTTCCGGGGAACTGCGCTCTCGGCTGCCTTTCGACTTCGAGCGCAGCAAGTCTTTCCAGCTGCAGGTCCAGGCCACGGACGCGGGCAACGCCTCGGCCACGGCCACCGTGCGCATCCTGGTGACTGGAGAAGACGAGTACGACCCGGTCTTTCTCAGCCCAGCCTTCGGCTTTGAGGTTCCTCAGGGGGCACGCCAGGGGCACAGCATCGGGCACGTGGTGGCCACGGATGAGGACGAGGGCCCAGATGGGGTGGTGCTCTACACCTTGGCCAAGCCGTCTCCCTTCTTTGGGATCAACCAAACGAGCGGCACCATCTACTTGCGCGTCGACAGCCAGGCGCCGGCGGGGAGCCCTCCCAAGCGGGAGCCGCGGGAGATGGTGCTGGAGGTCCAGGCCCACAGCCCCCTGCCCGCCTCCCGCTCCGCCGCCGCCCGGGTCACCATCGACGTCACGCACACGTCCCTCGGGCTGGTGCCCGACCTCAACCTGCTGCTGGTGGTGGCGGTGGCCGCCTCGCTGGGCGTGGTGGTGGTGCTGGCGGCCGTGGCCCTCGTGCTGGCCCTCGTCCGGTCTCGGCGGAGCCGTTGCCGCAAGGAGGCGGACTTGGCCCACGTGAAGAGCGGCTCCTTGCAGAAGCTGGGCCACGCGGAGCCAGCCCTGCCCGGGGGGGACTGCCTCTACCACGAGGCGCTGCCAGGCTACGGGACGGAGGCCGCCGGGCCCTACGCCAGGGGTGGGTCGCTGGACCCCTCACACTCGAGCGGCCGGGGCTCCGCTGAGGCCGCCGAGGACGACGAGATCCGCATGATCAACGAATGCCCCCGCATGTCCAGCGTCACCTCTTCCCTGCAGGAGCACCTGGCCGCCCGGGGACCGGACTCTGGTATCCAGACAGACGCGGATCGTCTCTCCGACGTGTCCTGCGAGCCGGCCACTCTCGACGCATCCCACTGGTTCAAGAACAGGAAGGGGCCCGGCCTGCTGCTGCCTGGGCAGCCCCCACAGCTCTACCGAGACGACGGGAGCGGCAGCGTCGCCTACCTGGGGGCCGGCTGTGGCCTCAACATCTCGGCCACCAAAGACTACTCCTTCCCAGAGGACGGGAAGCCGTGCGTGGACGGCTCACTCACGGCCATCGTGGCGAGTGACGAGGAGCTCCGCGGCAGCTACAACTGGGACTACCTCCTCAACTGGTGCCCGCAGTTCCAGCCCCTGGCCAGCGTCTTCACGGAAATTGCGCGCCTCAAGGACGAGAGTTCCCTGCGCAAGCCCTTCCCCACCAAGCCCAAGCCCCGCATCGACCCCCCGCCACTCATCACCTCGGTTGCCCACCCTGGCGCCAAGTCCGTGCCCCCCAAGCCTGCCGTGGGCCGCGCCTTCCCCCACCTCTCCTCCTTGCGACGGTCACCCATCAGCCACGAGGGCTCGCTCTCTTCGGCGGCCATGTCGCCCAGCTTTTCCCCGTCGCTCTCGCCGCTGGCTGCCCGCTCCCCGGTCGTCTCGCCCTTTGGGGTCTCCCAGGGCCCCTCGGCATCCGCCATAAGCACTGAGCACGCGTCGGAGGCCCCCGATGGGGCGGAGCTCTGCATCTAGGTGGGACCGTGTGCTGCGTGCCCTGCTCTGCTCTGCTCGGGTGGGGCAGGAGACCCGCTGGGAATGGGCCTGCTCTCTCTGGAGCCGCGAGACTCTGGCAGGCCGGGGGCCTCCACGGGACCACTGCGGGTTGCAGACGGCACCTCTGAGCCGCCTCCTCCTCTGCACCGCGAAGGGCTGTGTGTGCCCAGAGGAGGGAGACGGAAAGCAGGAGGACGATGAGAGGCGGAGGGGGGCCCAGCGGGACGTTCCAGAAGCTGCACATGGAACCCCCCCCCTGCACAGAGCAGTCCCTCCCCCCCACACACACACACACCCTGTACAGAAACAGATTTGTGACCCCCCCCCCCCCGGCACAGATACTGCTGTTCCCTGCGGCTGGGTCTCCTCGCTGCCTCCTGCTTACGGACTGGACAGATGGATTCTGGCTGACTCAGACCGCTGCAGCAGAGACGCTACTCCACCCCCCCACCCCACCCCAAAATGGCACCAGCAAGCACAGCGGTGGGAGGGAGCACACATGCGTGGCTGGAGCAGGCCCAGGCCCCGGAGACCAGGGGGCGGAGCCTCTCTTGCCTGGGGCCAGGACTGGGGCACGAGGCCGGTTCTTCTGGCAGCCACGCCACGGCTCCTCTGGCCTCCTTGCCTGCCTCCAGCTCTCCCCGTGTGTCCCAGAGCCTACTGGCCTGCCAGGACTGCAGGGATGGCGCATGCACAGACATTGGGGGGGGGGCTGGTTTCCCCCCAAGAGGGTGCCTTGGCCCCACCCCACATGCTGAGAAGTGTGGCGCCCAGGCGGCTAGGCAGCCGGGTGGTGGGTCCCTGCAGTCCGATCCCCAAGCTGCGCCCCCCCACACACCCCCTTCCGCTTCTTTCCTCCTCCACAGCCCTCCAGAGCAATAACCCCGCCCCCAGCGCAGACGGACATCTTGCAATAACCGGGTCTACCTCCGTGGGCAGCTGGGGTGCAAAGCTCCCCTCCCTGGTGGGGGGAAAGAGGCTACGGCGGCCCCAGCAGCCCAGGGCGTTCTCCCCCCCCCCAGAGGCTGGCAAGGAGAGGAGGCGGCCAAGCCCAGCGGGGGGGAGCGGAGAGGGGCAGTGGCCAAGGCCGGGGGCAAGGGGTCGAACAGGCGGCGGTCCCAGAAGGCCGAAGGAGCAAGGCTCTACGGGGAAGAAGAAGAAGAGGAAGAAGAAGAGGAGATTGGACGTCTACCCCATGGCCCTTCACTACCCAGAGGTGTCACAGAGCGGCTGACAAGCTCCTTTCCCTCCCCCTCCCCCTCCCCACAACAGACAGACACCCTGTGAGGCGGGTGGGGCTGAGAGAGCTCTTGACAGAAACGGCTCTTTTCCAAGGACAGCTCTTGCCAGAGCTTGTGACTGACCCAAGGTCACATCAGCAGGTGCAAGCGGGGGAGGGGTGGGGGAATCAACCACAGATTAGCGGCGCCGCACTTAAGCACGACACCAAACTGGGAGGGAGGGAGGGAGGGAGGG